CCATTTTTAAAGATATATATATATATATATATATATATATATATATATATATGGGGAATATTAATAACTCTATGCTCACACTGGGGAATGTGTGCGAGTAAGTGCCTGCCGTGGTGGACATCCTCCGCCGTCCTCATCCGGCTCACATGCAGTCGGTGTAATCATCACAGCAGAAGTAGTAGTAGCAGCAGCAGCGGCAAAACTATCACTTAAAGAACGACAAATTGGTTGAGCCACAACCGGTTGAAACAACAGGTTTTCTTCTTCTTCTCGTTGTTGTTGTTGTTGTTTCTCTTGTGGGGAGCCTATGAGTGTCGACTCCTTTCCTGGTTGAAGCTCGTCCGAGGGTACACTGCGGCAACTCCTACAATTGCAAGAAACACCAGAAGTATCATCTGTACCTTGTTTTGAAAGACCTGCAAAAGTAGTAGTAGTCGTCGTAGTAGTAGTATTATTATTATTATCCTCTTCCTCTTCCTCTTCTTCTTCTTCGTTAAGGTGTAATTCATGATGGTAATGCTCTAGACTTGCTGGAATACTTTCAGGGTTGGAGATTATTTGTTCTTTTGGCGTCATGGGAAACTCTCGTGTTTGAAATAAAGGCTCTACAATTGTCTTGATCTCCTGTTGCATTTCTTGTTGTTGTTGTTGTTGTCCTCCTCCTTGTAGGGCGACATGCCCAAGAGCAATGCGATCCGCCCCGTGACTCAACGCAAAGACGGTTTGAACATCAGGAGGACACGGCTCCGGCAAGCGATGAACACCACTGCAGTGTTTTCCCGCCACACATGAATTACGTATCCAATGAAGACAGAGATTACGTGGAAGCGACACAAATGAACAATTCATAGCATAACGGCATGATTTATACCAATGTAGACAGGGATGTAATTCCTTGCAGAAAGGACGATTTTCGGCATTTATATTCGCATCTGCCATTATAGAAACGTCCACATGATGAGGGATAGGCTTCTCTTTTATAGATGTAGATGGAACATACTGATTTGGTGGAGTTAATAAAAGTGGTTGTACAGAATTATGACTGTAAGGAGGGCCATTAGCTGGCGTTGCAGTTACAATAGATACACCTTTCGTATGATCTTCTCGCAATGGGGTTTCATCTTCAAAGGCTAGTGGTTTACTAGGTGTGGTGTTGGCTGAGGCACAACAACGTTCCATAATACCCATAGACCCATTTGGTCGTTTTGGATGCGTGACAACAGTTGTGGTTGTGGTTGTCGTGGTGGTTGTAGTGATGGATCTTGGTAATTTCGCTGGTGTAGTGGATGGTGGTTGGACTGGAGAGAGCGATAAAGACTTTCCACCACTACTCTCTTGTTCTTTTACCACAGGTGTCATGGTGTGTCGTAGAGAAAACAAACGGGCTTTACTTTGAATAAACTCTGCTGCCTCTGCATTACAACTACTTAACTCCATAAGTATTTGTACTAGTTCATCATTATCGGCGGCAAACAATTCTCTTTCCAAGGCTTTCGTAGAGAACTTTGCAGGTGATACAGCATTCGACTTGGATGGACTAGGATCTGGTGAAAATAGAACTGGTGAAGGGAATAACCCTTTCTTTGTTTCGGTTGTTGGATATCTATACATGATGGAAGGTGAAATAGTGGTGTTATTGCCAACTGAAGTGTTCTCTGACCACGGTGAAGGTACTACCATTGATGTTTTCAGCAAATGCATTTCCTCAGCCGTAGTAACACCACCACTATCACAACCTATGATAGAGGCATCGGTAACGGCACAACCCACATTCACACGCACAGAAGAAGGGGAAGCAAATACTTGCGGATTATTATTATTATTATTATTATTATTATTATTAATATGCTGAATGTGCTGTTGATGTTGATGCTGTGGTGGTTGACGCGTATAAGTAGGTGTACGTAGACATCCTGAAGTATTAACGGGAGAGTTTATGGTGTGCCCCGATTTACCTCCACATCCCCGTAATGAAACAGTCTCCGCAGTGGGCTCTACAATAGAGTGATAAAGCATAGAATGAATGTGCGGTGGTAACAGTGGAATGACAGAGTTTGTAGAAGGCCCATTATGCATCATCATCATCATCACAGGAGAGTTCTGCTGTATTTGTGGTTGATGTTGATATTGATGATGATTATAGTGATAGTGTTGGTGATTCTGTATAGGTGAGGGTAAAACCGCCGTGTAATGACTTGTGACGGAAGTGTCATGCTGCTGTTTATCCGTATATCTCTCGTGTGGAGTTTTAACAGTCGCCGGGGAAACAGTCCTGTGCATTGAAATGCCTTTTTTTTTTTTCTTTTCTTTATAAATAAATTATATTCCCTTTTCTCTGTTTGTTTGTTCGTTCGTTTGCCTTTTTTCTATGATGTCCCGTTCCACAGTATAAGAAGCGAAAACTCAAAATAACGTAACTTTTTTTTTTTGTTTTCGCTCTTCTTTTCTCTAAAGAGAGACACTAAAAAATAATATATATTTCTAGTGTGTCGTTACTTGTTTTGTGTTTATATACTTTTACTTCCCCTATCTATGTACTTTTCTCCCCCTGTGTAACTGTTGTTTTTCTTTATGTTTTTTTCTCTTTCTCTCAGTGTATATCTCTCTATGTGTGTCTTTTTTTTTTTTTTTTACGTTTGTGCAAGTGTGTAGAATTGGAAGCAAAAACACAGATGACAACACGCACACACAGACAGAGTCGAACAAATTCAAAAACACTATCGACTTTTTTTATTTCTACCGGTCTTCTATCTGTTGTTTATGTGTTCTTACCCCTTCTCTGTTCGTTGTGCTGTTGTTGTTGATATTGTCTTTTTTTTTTGGTGTTGGTTTCTTTTTTTTTATGTTTTTTTTTTTTTTTTGTTGTTGTTGTTGTTTTTTTCTTTTTTTTCTTCGGTTTGACACAGAAAAGAAATCCACTTGATTTTTTTTTTTTTTCCTTTTGTGTTTGTCTCCTTTTCTTTCTCTGGGTGTATGTATGTGTTTGTATATAATTATATATATATATAGATCTATATGTATGTGTTTACGTACACTGTGGTAAAAATAAAAAATAAAGAGAAAGAAGAGAACAAAAAAAGAAATGTAGAGGAAAGAATAGCAGCCCATACAGGTACACTTATCTAATCAGCACTATTATCACTATCACTGTCTGTTTGTTTTGTTTTTCGCCTTTTCAGTCTTCATTCTGTCCCACTTCTTCTTTCCAACTTGCAACTACAAGGCGGTTATGGAATTTTTTTTTTGTTCTTGTCGACGTTCTTCTCTTTTTTTTCCTTTTCAATTTTCTCCTTTTTCTTTTTTTAACTGTTACACCTCCACATATCGTCCTTCTTGTCACCATTGTCATTGGAGAGACCCTCTTCGCTCGCCCCTTCTCTCTCTCTCTCTCTCTC